TCGGCCGAGGGGGGCTGTCAGGATGCCAGCGGTCGCCCCTCTCCCCCGACAGCCCGTTGTCCACGTGGTGGACGGAGTGGTTCCTGTCGCCTCCCAGTCCATTCGCTTGCCTCTGGCTCCTTTCCTGGAGGGGGGGCCCGGGGGCGGCTCTCTCCCGCTGCGGGGTGGTGGGCCGGCATTTCGTACACCGACTTGCGCCCGTCGTCGTACACTTTCACCCCCTCGCCCGTGAAGTCCTCCGACGGCAGCGGGATGGAGGACAGGACCGTGCTCTCGCCCGTCTTCAGGTCTTTCTCCACCTTGATTTCCATGGCGTACAGCGCTGTGGAGAGACAAAGCCCATCTCTGATCAGTTCCCGCTTCCTCTCGTACACGAGCCTGCTTTCTCATGGCACACACACACACGCACACACACGCACACACATGCACACACACATACACACATACACACACGCGTACACACACACACACACGAAGGTCCCTTCTGATGGTCTAGTTTGTGCATTTCTGATTTTATTCGTCAACTACACAGTGACCAAGACTGTGGTGAGATGGGAGTTTAGGTCAGGATGGGTGACATCAGCGAAAAGTGGGAAGGATTGGAGGAGAGAAGCAGGTGGTTTCAGATGGTCAAGCTTTTCACCGGCACCCAAAGCTGTATTCTTTCTAAGGAATAAACCCAACGAGGTGCATTTACGCTCTTTGGCATGGCTCACTGGGAGGACACAGACCTCGCGAGCTGGGAGAAGTGTTCCGCACTGAGCGTGCCCGGAGGCAGAGGCCTCGCTCGGTCCCACGTCGGGTTAAGTCCCCCCCTTGCTGCTCAGGGACCTCGCAGCCACGGGAGACCATAGAGGACTCCTGACACCCTCGCCAGGGGAGCTCGTGTCACTGTCCAGCTGGCCGTGAAGAGGGAGGGGCTGGGGTCACAGGCCTCGCCTCTGGCCGGATGCTGCTTCTCATTTTCACTCCCACGTTCAAGTGGAGAAAGGGCTAAAAATAGAGCAGCCAGCAGCCCTGCAACCACGGACTGGAGCGACCCTGCTGATGGGGGAGCTGGGGCCCCGCCAGGGCCCAGCGAGGTCCCGTGGCTGCCGTTTTAACTGTGTCAGGAAGCTAATAGGATGGTGGGCACCATGGCAATGGCTGGTTCCCACCTTCCTTCTGAAGCCACTGCCTTCCTGTCCCGTTCATCGCCCCTGGCTCCCGGCTTCGGCTCCCCGACGACAATGGCAGAGCCCTCATCCCCACCCCTCCCGTCTCTGCGTCACCCTTCTCTTCAGCACCCTCACTCCTGATGCGGATAGTTTATTATTTACCTAACGCCTGTCTGTTTTCTCCCTTAGAATGTCAGCCCCACGAGGGCAGCGGCTCTCGCTGTTTTACTGATTTATTTTTAAATATGTCTTTATTGATTTCAGAGAGGAAGGGAGAGGGGGAGAGAGATAGAAGCATCGATGATGAAAGAGAATCATTGCTCGGCTGCCTCCTGCACGCCCTCTGCATGTGCCTGACCGGGAACGGAACCATGACCTCCTGGTTCATAGGTCAATGGCCAACCACTGAGCCACCGAGGCCGGGCTCTTGCTGTGCTATTCACTACTGTGTTCTTTGTGCGAGGATGGAGCTGGGCATGCAGTGCATCGTCACTAAATAGTTGCTGAATGAATGAGCGAATGGCTGGTACCTGCCCGTAGAATAGCTTCCCTTTCTGGTCTAAAATGCAAAGCTTCCCCCTATAGAACTTCATTTCCCCAGCGGCTTTGAAGCGTTGTTTTATGGAAGCCACGCCCCCTCCCCCCATGGGGGTAAGCCACGCCTGGCCTGCCCACGGGGAGTGTTTCTATTTTGATGGAGGATCTTAGTCACTCAAGAGCGTGTCTACGGGGTGGGACCTGGTGGGAGAGACGCTTTTGAGTAGAGGAGCTTTGCTTTCAAGAGCTGCTTGTTCCCGTCGGCCTTCCTCTCCTCCGTCCTTACCTCGTTGCTAGGGAATAGACTAAATACCACGGCCGGTTACCCCTACCTGTGCAGGTGACCCCAGACCTCATGGGAGTCTGTGAAACGGACCATTGAATAAGCTGGGAGCGTAGATGGCAGAGCAAGTGGCTAATGTGACCTTGCAAAGCTCTGAAGGCGCGAGCTGCCTCTGGAGGCAGATCACTGATGTACCTTTTCTATTTTGCTCATCATCTTCTAGTCCATCATTTCTTTCCTTCCTTAACCGGGAAGGGACGTAGGATTTTGGAAGGTCGGGGATATTAGCATAGATGTCTTCAATCGACTCTGCAAAATTAATATCAATTCAAAATACAGCTGGAGGATATGGATGGTCATGGAAACATGTCAGTGGGCTTGTCAAAACACAGCTGAATGAGACATAGACGAGAATGCTCAGAAACGTACCTCCCGGCGTTCCTTCCTTTTCCACCTTCACAGACTATAAGAGAGAAAAAGAGAATTCTTTAAGGTGAATGCAGTCGACAAGATCGCTTCTGAGTGTGGGTATGCGCTGAAGAATGGTACGCCCTCGTGGACTCGCTTGGAGGGGAAATCTGGTTTTAGGCTTCATCCAGGCGCTCACCCTTATTATGTCTTCCGGGGTCCTCTCCACGGATTTCAGTTTCTTTAAAATCGCCTCCTCGTGAGTCGAGATCTGCAGCTCCGCCCTTTCCAGGTCTTGGATCTCCTTTTCAAGCCTGACAACAACAGAGAGAGACGTTAATTGCTGCGGCAGGACAAATGCGTCGCTCTCAAGTGTACCCCCCGCCCCGTACCCCCTCTCCTGGGGCGATGGCATGCAAGTATCCAGGTACCGCCTGAGAACGCAGCTCCCACCACACAGCACCTTGGGCCCATGGGAGGCACCCGACACCCGGCTTTGGTTGAACAGCGCTCAGTGCCAGGTTACCATGTGTTCTGGGCAAAAGGAATTCTTGGGTGAAGTGGTTGGCCCTTGCCCCAGGGTCTTCATTGCAATGACTAATGTTACTTCCCAGCGAAACCAAGGAATTTCTTGGACAAAGACTCTTAAGTTTAAAGTTGAACAGAAGGAACAGTGCATGTGCAGTTCGCCGATGTTTCCTACCCACATCTCCACATAAATGATTTGGAAAAGATCATAGCAATTTTTTTTCTAGCCAGTCAAACTTTAGAACATTATAATTATTAAGCTCGATTTAAGAATCATAGCTGTTTAACAGGGAAGGACCCTGTATATCCCTACCCTGGGCATGATCCTTGGTTCTGATTTCAGTTTCCTGAGAGCTGTGCTGTGGTGTAGTGAGGAAGGCAAATACACACACACACACACACACACACACACACACGCTAGTGCATAAAAATTCATGCACTTGTTTGGGAGGGGGCAGGGTCCTTCAGCCCGGCTTGTACCCTCTGGCAGCCTGGGAGCCCTCAGGGGATGTCCACCTGCCAGCTTAGGTCCGCTCCCCAGGGGATTGGGCCTAAGCTGCAGTCAGACATCCTTAGGGCTGCGGAGGAGGCAGGAGAGGCTCCCACCACTGCGGCTGTGCTCGCAGCCGAGCGGAGCTCCCCCTGTGGGAGTGCGCTGACCACCAGGGGGCAGCTCCTGCCCTGAGCACCTGCCCCTTGGTGGTAAGTGCGCATCATAGTAACCGGTCATTCCTGGTCGTTCCACCGTTAGGGTCAATTTGCATATTACCTTTTATTATATAGGATATTTGCATGTATATGTATACACATATCTATCTATATACATCCTTGTAATTATTTAAAGTGTGTGTATACATGCATATGCACACATACATATTCGTATGTGTGTATATATTTAAAAGACTAGTTTTAGATATATGTGTACCCTGTATATACAGGGTACACACACGTTAACAGCTGACAGATCAACTCTGAAAGTGAGATGTATTTTAATAAGCACTGCCTTTGGAATTATTCAGAGCGTGTACAGACTTTTTGGGGGGACACCTTCCATACTGAAAACTAAAATTGTTTGTATCTGGGGCCTTTTAGGGGAGGTCGCTGGGCGACGGCTCCCTAACCTTCACTGCTTCTCTCTCCGCGATGGGTTAGAGTTTCTGTAATTGCTGCATCCCCTCCTTAGGAGGTATCACCTTCCCGGGTGGAGCTGCGGCGGGGGGAGTGCTGACTCAGCTGCGAGAACCAGGCGGTGGGGACAGAGAACTGGCCTCCTGGTGCCTCCCGGGCTGTGAGGCGGGGCCGATGGACGAGCGAGCCCCTCCCAGCTCCTGAGAGGTGGTGGGCAGGGGGCAGGTGCCAGTTTAGATAACAGAGGATCTGAGAGAGGACTTGGGATGCTGTCCATGCCTGCAGTCCACCTTCTCCGTGGCCATTTGCTGGGGAAGGAGGGTTATTTTCGCGAGTCCCCTGGGGAGAGCAGGCAGCTTTCATTTCGTGCTGTGGCCTGGTAACAGCCTCCCTTACTCATCACGAGACAGTGTCCCCAGTCCCATTACAGCTGCAGTTTTTTATCTTTGAAAAGGGACAGAACATAACGCTGGATGCGCCACGAAGGGGTCATTTCCGAAGGTAGTTTTTCTGCTGTTCAGGGTCCATTTCTCTCTCCCCATTGTCGGTGGAGTTAAGCGAGGGCTAACGCTACCGACAGGCTACCATGAGGGCCAGACAGGCTGCAGCTCAGGAGAAAACAAATTCAGCAGCGTGTGTCCTATGTCACAGCACCGCCTGTCAGCCACTAGAACCACGTGTCACATGTATGAGCGTCACACTGTACCAGGCCGGGCCTGCTCGGTTCTCACCACCAACCCGGAGCCCTTGATGGTTCCATCGCACAGAGGAGCAAGCTGAGCCCTCGGAAGGTCCCTGGCCGGGAGCCCGGCCCGAGCAGGACGGGATTGGGAAGCAAGTCCCTCCCTACACCCCTCCCTTCGGAGCCTGAGCTCCTAACTCCTGCCTCATGGGCCTTCATGGGAGCAAGACCTGTAAGACGGGTCCTTAGGCAGAGGCATTCTCCTCGCTCAGCGGTGGGACAGGGTTTCCGACTTTTCACGCTAATGAAGAGAGAAGATGGAAATGCTGGTGGGCCCAGCCACATGTGGAAGCAGCCTTTCTGTCCGGCCCTTCCTTAGGGTTTGCCGGGGTAGCCGTTCTCTGCTGGGTGGACCGTCCGTCTGCCCAGGAGTCAGGCCCGGCTCCGCCGTTTCCCTCTGGCTGCCGAGCCTGGTCCTGGGAGGCGCTGGTGGCGAGGCCCCGGCCAAGGAGTTTCTCTGCTCTGACATGATGCTGTCCAAAGTGGTGGACGCTTAGGAGGGACACGGGCAGCGGCTGATGCGGTGCGAGTGGAACAGAGCAGCGTGGCGTGTCCCCGAGGCCGCGTCTGGGATGCAGTCTATGGCGGGTTTTGCCGTAGCCTTGGGCAGGGCTGATGCAGCGTGTGTGTCCCAGGAGCCACGGCCCCACCCAGACGGGCCCCCCGTGGCGAGGTGCTGGGTGGTGGTCGGTGCCCCGAGTCAGCGGGCATTATCCAAGATGGGCCCTCCCAGGGTACTTTGGAGACCAGCGGACAGACGCTCAGATGACACCCCACCTGTCACACCCACACACACACCCGGAGCTGGACAAACGGAGCCGGAGTTGGGGACTCACAGGCTCTCAGGCAGGCGGCCTCCAGCAGGTGTTGAATTCAGTTCTGAGTGCTGAGCAGTATGACCCCTGACCCTTGACCCTGCCTCTGGGCCAGGGAGCCGCGTTCCTTTCTCCCCCACGGGAGACTGGGGAGCCGCTGGTGGTGTGCCTGTATTTTGTGATTTTGTGTGTGAAGGTTCGCTTCCCCCCGCCCCCAGCTCTGGCCACAGACACAGACAGGGAGCCCGCGCAAAGCTGGCACGCGTGGCAGAGTTACCGAACCGCCCGAGCTCCAGCTCCCTCGTTTGGGGTCATAGTTTCCCAGAGGGCTTTCTGGAGGGGGGAGATGAGGTCCTGTTTGCAAGCCTCGGGCACAGGGTGTGACCTAAAAGGCGTTCCTCAGTAATGACTCGCTGTCCCTTCTCCTCCCCGTCTGCTGGGGGGAGGGCCGGTCATTTTTTTATTCTCCATAATTAAAAAATAAGCATACAAAATATTGCTTACCAGGTCCATCTGGAGATTCAATCTTCAATTAAAAATTAAAAAAATCAATCAATCAATCAATCAATTTGAGAGAGAGAGATCAATTTGTTGTTCTGGTGTGGTTCAATGGTTGAGCATGACCTATGAACCAGGAGGTCATGGTTTCATTCCCGGTCAGGGCACACGCCTGGGTTGCGGGCTCGATCCCCAGTACGGGGCGTGCAGGAGGCAGCCGATCCATGATTCTCTCTCATCATTGATGTTTCTCTCTCTTTCTCCCTCTCCCTTCCTCTCTGAAATCAATAGAAATATATTTAAAAAAATTTGTTGTTGCACTTATTGATGCATTCATTGGTTCATTCTTTTGTATGCCCCAAATGGGGATCCAACCTGAAACCTTGACGTATGGGGACAATGCTCTTATGATGTTCAATTTTAATATTGATGCTTTTGGAACAAAGGGGTGCTAATATAGCTTCAGGGACACCCTGTCCTTGAAAATCCTGCTCTAGGCTTGCAAACACGACCTCATCTACCTCCTCCGGAAAACCCTCTGGGAAACTATGACCCCAAAATGCACTCCAAATTGCCAGGATTGTTATAATAGTTATAGGATGGTGCTTGATTAATAAACGCGATCCGTGTGATAAATGAAGGGACGGGCTAGTCTGTTTGGCCACCTGCTAATACCCCACCCCCCTTGCTCCTGTTCTTTCAGTAAGGGTTTCACGTGTCTCTCTGGCTACCTGGCCACAGACTACATTTCCCAGCCCCCTTTGCATTAAATGGTGCCATGTGACTAAATTCTGGCCAATAGGACAGCAGTAGAAGCGACCTCTGCCATTTTCAGGTCATATCCTTAAAATAGAGGTGTTTGTCCTCCGTTTATCTTCCCTTTCCAGGCTGGAATGCGGAGGTGGCAGTGGAGAGCTGACGGTGGCCACGCAACCAAGGGACCACTTGGGGGGTGGGGGTGGGGGAGCAGAGTAACAACAGGCAGGATCTGGTGACTTGCCTCCTGCCCGCGTCCCCTGGAATGACTCCCAGCCGGACAGAGGCGAACCTCCCTCGTCTTGTTCAGGCCGCTGCTATTGTGGCTTCTCGTCAAACATCGCAACCCCATTTCCCCATAACCTTATTTCAGTGACCGATTTCATGAACTTTCCCATCACCCTCCCCCCCCCCCCCCCCCCCCCCCCGCTAAAAAAAAAGATTTCTTTTGTTTGGCTCTCTGTAAAATAATAGTCTAG